TATATATATAATTTATTTTTTTTTCCTCCTGACTCCACTTGCAACTCTTTGGAGCATACTTTTGTAACCTCAGCTAAAATTACTCAGGTGGTACTGTATTGATTCAACATCTACTCAGTGCCTTGGCTTCATCCACAATTCAAAAATATGAAGAATAAAAATCTCTTTTCTATGAAAGGGATTTAGAATCTTTGAGGAGATTTATAAAGCACTTTGAGATGGTTTTGTATAAAAAGATGCCACTATATATTATATGCATGTAAAGTGGTTTAATATTCTACTCCAAATAAAAGACAATGTTTTGTATTCCCATATCTATTTTGCATATTAAAATTAAATACTTGTTAGAATAAACAAAACTACCAGTGCAAAGGGATTTGAAAGGACTAGCTGCTATAGATTTTACAGCAGCTCTTCAATCAAGCAGTGTACCTGATACTTGAAAACAATTTTTAGAAGATCTGGAAGAATGGTGATGACATGCAGATACACTATTTTTTCATCTAAGGGGAAAAATATTAAGTAATTTTGAGAACTACATTAACATCTTCCAAACATATTAATGGCAAAATTAAGCCATTGTTCTAGCTGAACACAGATAAACCCACACAAAATAATTTTTGATCTGCTTTAAATTGCACAAAAGTCTGATCACTTTTAAAGTGAGAAACAAGAACTTCTTGAATGTAAGAATTACAAAGCTTAAATAATTCAGAAAAGCCATTCACATACATTCATGTATTATGAATAAATGCTCAGTTATAGTTTATTTCTTACACACACAGCTTTAGGCTAATAAATTTAATGCCTTAAAAAAAATAAATAAAAACCAGCTGAAGTGGGAACAGCCTATACATTGCTAGAATGGTAGTTTTAATTTGACTGCTCTGGTCATGATACTTCAACCACAGCAGTTACTACTCTGAATTTGTTCCTCTGAGGTCATAATTTACAATTTAAAGTTAAAGTTTTGGATGCTGTAGGGGGGCTCATCTGTGGAGAATGGAGTGAAACAGTTAGGGTGGTTAAATCTAGAAGCAACATCTTAATCTTCGGATTCCCTTTAATACTGTGGGAACATACTTTCCCTA